CCCCCCCCCCCCCCCCCCCCCCCCCCAGGTGTCTCCTCCCCATTTTCTAGTTGTAAAAACTTCAAAAAAAAAAAAAAAAAAAGGGGGGGGGGGAGAGGAAGATATAACAACCCCAACTTTTTTTTTTTTTTTTTTTGAAGTTCTTACAACTAGAAAATGGAGAGGAGACACCTGGGTGGGAGGGGGGGAGGGAGGAGGGAGGGAGGTTTCAGTGATGGGACACAATAACTAACTGCATTGTATATTGACAAAATAAAAAAAAATAATAAAAAAATAAAATAAATAAAAAGAATTTGATTTAAAAAATAAATGAAATTGGTACTAGGATTTCAGCTTGAATTTCACTTATTTTCTGGCTATCATTTCTCTTCATATTATTAGTAAGAGTTAATAAAATAGCTGTAAAATACACCATGGTCAAATTTGAAGAAGTATCTTAGTGAATATAGATTTTAATGAACTAGTATCCGCATAAGTCATGTATATGTTAAAAGGATTCTAATCATGTTCATTAAGAAATAATTAACAAGGATATATAATTTATGTATTCTTATAATGGATAATATGGTCAACAAAATAATAATCGTCTACTATTTATAAGCATTAACTCTTCAGTTTAGTGTGTTTTTAGTCTTTTTAATTTAAGACTTTCTGGTAATGTCATAAGCTATTTCCAATTTTAAAATATTTTAGGCAGAAGAAATAATCATCTTAATTTTGGTCACAGTATGAATATTTATGTTTAATCAACAGCTTTTACCGTTTTGTTCTGGAACCAGAACTGATGTCAGGGACGAATGACATTTCTTCTCTTGGACCAGTCGCAAAATTCCTGGATATCCCTGAATCACCCCTTCTAACCCTCAACATGATTACTCCAGAAGGCTGGTTGGTTGAAACAGTATACAGCAACTGTGACCTTGATAATATTCGCTTGAAGGATGTAAGTTATTGTGTAAAGTCATATAAAGTGAAAGAAATAGGATTAATTCTTATCAGTTATTACAAACATGGCAAGTGAGTGATCATGTGAAGGATGCTCATCAGAATTTTCTTCTTCATAATTCTAAATCCTGATCTAGTCTTCCCTTTGATTTTTAAGTTTTCTTAACTTCCAAATTCAGCTTATCTAGTTTTCTGTGTTCTTAGGTACCTTCACCTTTTTTATTGACTCAGACACCTAGCTCACAAAGACTACTGTAAGGTGAACAATGTAGAAAATATGGAGAGGGACACATGGCAGCTTGGGAGGACACCTTTAAGTACCTCTTTTACCTTTCAGGTTTAATTTTTAATTCGGAGAGGATTTTATCTGAAACTCTTGTTTTGCCTCATGGCTCATAGCCAAAGAAAGCTCAAAGAAAGCAGTCCTACTCTAGATCAGGGTAGAGAGCAGGAAACAAAATTCACTTGGATACTGCAGACGTGGGTTACTGCTTCTTATCACCTCTAACGTGACCCTTGTCTAGTGAGTAGTTAGACTTCACTTCCTTACCTGTTGTCATTCAGTTCACAGCACTATAAAAGAGAGAAGAGAACAGTTTTAAATACACTGAGTCTTTTAAAACATTGAATTTAGAGTAAGAAAATGGATTCAGAAATCAAAAAATCAAAAAAAAGCAGCAGCAGCATTTTAGGAGACTAAGATTGGTGTCCAGAAACTGAAGAGAAAATACTTTTCTCCTCCCTCTGTCCTATTTCCAACTCTGTGTTTGACATCTCTTTTAGAATGTAGCCATTTCCATGACTGAGGCATAAACATTTACCTGTAGTATAATAATTTGGTTTAATTATTTCTCATGCTTCTCACATCTTACCTTTTGCCTGAAGATTTTCCTTACAGGCAAATGTCTTTTGATCCACACATGAGTAGATTCTGTGGGACCCTAGATCACTTCCCTGTAACATACTCACCAGTACCCAACTTGACTGACCTGAAAAAGAACCTAAAACTCAGCCATGGCAATCATCAGAAATCTGTCCTTCAAATCCAGGGAAAGAATAGGAAGGCAACAAAATAATAAAATCTATTAGGAAAAGTTCAGAAATGAACTTGACAAAATGTAAAAAAAAAAAATCCCCTTTTTCTCTTTGATAAGTCAGATCTTTTAACAGAGTATATTGGATTCTTCATAAAGAGAGTGGAGCAGTACTATATTGATAAGATAACCTAAAGACTCTAATGAAAAATATGAAAATATTGTAATGGGAGAATTAATATAGCTTAGAAAAAGATTTTAAATTGAGTCTTCTGATGAATATTTCATTGAACAATTAATGGAGATAACTAAACTTTTGGGGGGGAGTGGCTAATCTGGTAATGTCTATTTAGAAGCTGTTCAAATGAACAGTAGCTGGAAGACTAAAATAAGGGGAAATAATTCCCTGTGTCTTCATTGATTAGGTAAATAAACAGAAGGAAATTATAAATCCTAGCATCTGTAAAAGTTAACTACCTTTCAGGCTCTTCTTTTCCATTGTGTGCTGTACATACTTAGAATATTACCTGCAGCTATCCTAGAAAGACAAGAAAATGCAAATAAAGATATTAGCAAGAGTAGAAAGGAGTTTTAAGTAAAGGGAAAACGTGCACCCTGGCAAAAAATGAGACTAATAATGAGAGATTTATGACCATACACTAGTTTGTGCAAACACTCCTTGCTACATCTTATTCCTGAACGTTACGTAAACACTTGAAGAAAACATTATCTAGAATACTTCCTTAGTGGGACTTTCTTCACATGATTGTAACTACAAAGACTTTATTGCACAATGAACATTAATGCTATAATTAAAGATGATAAAAGTGATTACAGGAAAGCTAAAAGTGAGGTAGTTACTTTTACCTAGGGTTCTGATATTGCTCTTTCAGAGTTTATTATTAGAACTACATCCAGAGACTCTCCAATTATATTTTGTCACAGCATATACCTGAAAGATCAAAATACCTGAAACAACAGTGGTGGTTTATGCAGTCAAGAGGAAGCGGAATAAATAAAAGATTGCTAATAAGAAACAGAGAGTGTCTATGTTAATGTTGAAAGGAGTTCACATAAAAATGTATTAGCCTGCTCTAAAATATAAATTATTTTGAGATCAGTTTTATTGATTACCAATATAGTTGTCAAAGAATTCCTATTTGATTGCTACAGACATAATACAGATCCTAAATAATACTGTATTATGAATGAAAAAAAATTGGATGAACACACACTTCATCTTAGGATCAATTTAGTCCCTTAGCTTACAGTATATAAAATTTACATCTCAAACCATCAAACACAAAATTTGGGAACAGGCACATACCATCAAACACAAAACTTGGGGATATTTTCCCAAATATTGTCCCCTTTGCAAAAGTGAGCGATTTAAACCAAACTTTGGCAAACTTATAAATTTATGTAAGATTTACATTACCTTATAATCGTTACACCTCCAAATCATCTAAAACTAATTTCTTTCTTTCACTTCTCCTGGAAATCTCACCTATCCTTAGTTCTAGATAATTTCTCAAAGTTCAGATTACACCAAAGTCTTTAAGTTCAGCCTTCAGATGCCTTAAGACAAGACACAAGAAAAAGATGTTTTTTATCATTTTACCCATCCCTAGTACTAGACAGCTTGTCAGAATCCAGGTCACAGATGGAGATATTTATCATACCTTTGTTCACTTTGTACAATGTGTCATTGGAATTACACAAAATTATATTAAATAGCAATAAAAATACTACAATAACAAGTGGGATTTAAAGATAATTGTTAACAAACCCAAATATTAGTCTTTATAATTTAACTTAATTTTTTTTTAAAAGGAAGATGCTAACTATTCAGCCACAGAAGAATAGTAAAATAAGTACTTCTTAGAAAAATTAATATGTTCTCAAAGTTATATTTAAAAAGTATTAAATTCATATCTTATATCAACAATTAATATTTATAACATAAATAAAAATATAAAGGAAAGATAGAAATAAACATCAAAAATGATCACTAGCTTTCATATTTTTGCTAAAAATAAGCCTTGAAGATAAACTAACTTAAATCATCTTTATTATCTATTATTTATTATTTATTTATTATTAGGAAACTTGAAGTATTCACTAGAAAGTATTCTTTGAAAAAGGAATTGGCTGTTTTTGGTATTGTGGTTTGAATAAGTCAACAGAATTGAGTCTGTTATATAAAAAATATAAAAACAAGAAATTTTTACATTAAAATGAAGATATTATTAGTCACAAACTGGTTAAATGTATTTGGACTCTGTCCTAATATCTAATTCATAATAAAAAATAGTTAAGGTTTACTTCACAATCACTTTGGGGTACGGTTTTCTTGTCTGTAAAATGAGGGGGCTGAACTAAATAATCTGTACGATCTCTTGCTAACTTTTAACATTCTTATATTCTGGGACTATTACATGGAAATCTTTCCATCCAAGGAAATTGTTATGAGAACTCTGGATACAAGTTAATTAAGTATATGTGAAGTCATCACTAGAACAGCAATAATTGAACAACTAATTTAGAATCCAAATAAAGTTGTTGAATCAAATGCCATCTTCAAAGAAGCTACTTATTTCTTGTTCTGAAAAGGAGTAAAATCATAAGAACAGGTCTCAAGAAAGAAATGCTGTACACAAGTATTTCAGTTATTTCTGAGATAATTAGTCAATGAAAAACAATTTTACAATACAGAATATTTCCAAATACTCTGTAGCCTAAACACAGTAAACAAAAATGTTGGAAACCTCATATGATGAAATAAAATTAGGTATAGGTAACAATCACTGTCTTTAATCTGGTCAGCAAAATCCTTGAACTATGAAAATCCCTTACCATTTGATTTATTTTCATGTTTGGATATGTTGTTCAGATGAAGTAGAGAAAAAGCTTTATCCCCAAAATATTTATTATAACATTTGCAATAGAGGAAAATCTGGAAATAATTGGATGTCAAGCTATTCAAAAAGATATTTATAGGGACAGGGACATTTTCTGAGAGAACTATGTTTAATGAAAAAGCAGGTTACACTTAGAAAAAACTTATGGAGAAAAGAAATAGAAATCAATGTGTCGATGTTTATATGACTTTGGTTTATAGATAGTTCATATTTTTTCTTCTTTCCACTTGGAAGTGGAAAGACTAATTTTTAACATTAATATAAAATTCATTTTTTAAATGAATTACATTAATTTATAATTAAATAATTCTAAACATTAATTTTTTTTAGTTACAAGAAAGCCAGTAGATGATAAAAGCTTTCTAATCAAGTCTGAAGTGGAAACTACAGGGCAACATCAAACCGATGTAGATTCTCTAAGGAATTTCTCATCTAAATTTGTCTTAATGAGATCCTTTGAATAATACAGGTTATGGAGCACCAATTTGTGCTCATGTCTTTCCTGCTTGGTGATATTGCTACGTATTGTCATGATTGGGTAGAGCTGATATCATGAGAAAGAAAAAATTTATCATGAGCTTTTGGTGGTGTTTATACATGAATAAACAAAAGATTTGAAGACACTCATCAATATATGTTGGCTAATATTAAAATAACTACATCTATTTATTACTAAATTTGTACTATGAGGATCACTAATACCAAAACCATGCCATGTTCTCTCCACAGACTGAGAAAACTGTTACAGCAGAATATGAACTAGAATATCTGTTACTTGAAGGACACTGCTTTGATACAATGACAGAACAACCTCCTCGGGGTCTGCAGTTTACACTAGGCACAAAAAATAAACCTGTTATGGTTGATACAATAGTGATGGCCAATCTTGTAAGTATTATAAATATTTAATTGCTGATATTTAATTAGATATTTCAGTGAAATTCTCTGTTTTCCTTATAAGTAAGGTGAAGCAGTCTTAATGTATTTTTATGTAGTAGAAGTTCACTGAAACATCTATTGCTGAATAGCTCACAGAAAACAAAATTGAGTCCTTAAATAAGATAAATAAAACAAAAATGGTAAGAATCATACTTTCAGAATCTCCTTGTACAGATTATTGTACAATCTCTACCCTTGCTTGCAATTCATTTACAGAATTTATTATACAGTTATTAAACACTTTCTTAGATGATTCATGTATATTCTGTCATGGACAATTGGATGTGTTTAATCATGTAACGCAATGATCATTTTTTCTTATCTTCAAAGGGATATTTTCAGTTAAAAGCAAACCCTGGTGCTTGGATACTGAAATTACGCCAAGGAAAATCTGAAGATATTTATCAAATAGTTGGGTGAGTTGTATTAACAACTTTTAAATCTTTATATGTAAATAAGTTTCTAGTGTGATATAACCAAGGTCATCAAAACAACCATTAAAATGTTAGCAAGACTGGGCTAGGTCAGGCATCAGCAAGATGGCAGAATTGTACTTTCCAGTGCTCACACCCCCGCAGAAACATCAATCTGAACAACTGTTCATGCACAAAAATACCTTCATGAGAGCTAAGGAAACTGGGTGAGATATTACAGCACCTGGGTGTAGCACAGAAATAAGAAAAGATGCGTTGAAGAGGGTAGGAAGGACAGTTTTACGTTTAGCACCAGGGGAGCCCCTGTGGACCCAGGCTTCAGGCTGGCCCCTGCAGATTCAGGATCCAGGCCCAACCCAGCACCAGGTAAGCCCCTGTGGACCAAAGCTTCAGGCCTACCCCTGCAGACCCAATCAACAGGTCTTCCCAGTGAATCCAGGCAGCAGCACCCAGGCCCAACCCTGCAGTCTCAGGTACCAAGCCAGAACAAACCAAGTCCAAAGTTAGTAGAAGGAGGGAAATAAAGATCAGAATAGAAATAAATGAAATGGAGATGAGAAACAATAGAACTGAACAATAGAAAAGATCGAGGAAACTGAGTTGGTATTTTTGAAAAGATAAAATTGACACGCATTTAGCTAGACTAAGAAAGAAAGAAAAAACTCAAAACTAGAAATGAAAAAAGGAAACATTACAACTAATATCACAGAAATATGAAGTATTATAAGTCTGAACAATTATATGCCAACAAGTTGAGTAACCTAGGAAAAGTGGATAAATCCCTAGGCACTATAACTTACCAAGCCTGAATCACAAAGAAGTAGAAAATCTGAACAGACCAATAATGAATAAGGAGATTGAGTTAGTAATAAAAAGTCTCCCATCAAAGTAAAGCCCAAGACCTGATGGCTTCAGTGCTGAATTCTTCCAAACATTTAAAGAAGAGCTAATACCAATCCTTCTCAACCTCTTCCCTCAAAAAATAGAAATGGAGGAAATACTTCCCAACTCATTTTATGAGGCCAGCATTACCTGATACAAAAGCCAGACAGTGACACTACAACAAAAAGACAATTACAGGTCAATATACCTCATGATCATAAATATAAAAATCCTCAATAAGATAATAGCAAACCAAATGCAATGGCACATTAAAAGAATCATTCACCATGATCAAGTGAAATTTTTCCCAGGGTTGCAAGAATGGTTCGACATACACAAATCTATAAATGTGATACTGCACATTAACAGAATGAAGAACAAAAAACATATAATATCTCAATAGATGCATAAAAAGCATTTGACAAAATTCAGCATTCTTTCATGATAAAAACTCTCAACAAGTTAGGTATAGAAGAAATGTACCTCTAAACAGTAAAGGCTACATATATGACAAGCCCATAGCTACCATCGTATTCAATGGCAAAAAGTTGAAAGCTTCTCCTGTAAGAGGAGGAGGAAGACAAGTGTGCTCACTCTCGCCATTTCTGTTCAACATGGTACTGGGAGTTGTATCCAGAGAAAGTGAGCAAGAAAAAGAAAAAAGTCATCCAAATTAGAAAGGAAGAAGTCAAATTGTCCCTGTTAGCAAACAAAATCTTATATATAGAAAACTAAAGACACCACCAAAATACTTTTGGAACTACTAAATGAATTCAGTAAAGTTGCAGGATACAAAGTCAACATACAAAAATCAGTAGCATTTCTATACACCTATAATGAGCAAGCTGAAATCAAGAAAGCAATTCCATTTAACAATAGGTACAAAACAAAATACTTAGGAATGAATTTAACCATGGAAGTAAAAGACCTGTACACTGAAAACTATAAAATATTGATAAGGGAAATTGAAGAGTATCATGTTCACAGATTGGAAGAATTAATATTATTAAAATATTCACACTACTCAGAGCAATCTACAAATTCAGTGTAATTCCTATCAAAATTTCAATGACATTTCTCACAAAAATGGAAAACATAATTCTACTGTTCATATGGAACCACAGAAGACTGGATATCCACATGCAGAAGAATGAAATTAGACCCTTATCTTTGATTTAAAAATCAACTCAAAATGGATTGAAGATTTAAACATAAGACCTGGCAGTATAAAACTACTAGAAGACAATACAGGGGAAAAGCTCCATGATATTGGTTTGAGCAATGATTTTTTTAATATCACCCCAAAAAGACAGGCAACAAAACTGAAAATGGGCAAATTGGATTACCTCAAACTGAAATGATTCTGCACAGCAAAGGAAACAGTCAACAGAATGAAGAGAAAACCTATGGTATGGGAGAAAATATTTGCAAAGTATACATCTGGTAAGAGATTAATATCTGAAATATATAAGGAACTCAAACATTTCAACAAAAGACTCCATTAAAAAATTGGCAAAAGTCATGAATAGGCATTTCTTAAAAGAAGACATTCAGATGCCCAACAGATGTATGAAAAAAGCTCAACATCACTAGTCATCAGGGAAATGCAAATTAAAACCACAATGGGATATCACCTTACACCATTAGGATGGCTATTACCAAAAAGACATGATGATAAATGTTGGCAAAGATGAGGCAAAATGGGAATGAAATTTGTACAGCCATTATGGAAAATTGTATGGGGGTTCTGAAGAAAATTAAAAATGGAACTACCATATTATCCAGCAGTCCCACTACAGGTATATATCCAGAGGAAGTGAAATCAGGATGTCAGAAAGATGTCTGCAATGCCATGTTTATTGCAGCATTATTCACAGTAACTGCGATATGGAAAAAACCTAAGTATCCATTAACAGATGAATGGATTTTTTAAATTATGGCATATATAGAGAGTGAAATATTATTCAGTCTTAAAAAAGGAAATCCTGTTATTTGCAACAACATGGATGAAACTGGAGGACATTATGTTAAGTGAAATGAGCCAGGTACAGAAAGACAAATCCCACATGATCTCACTTACATGTAGAATCTAAAAAACTTGAACTCCTAGAAGCAGAGAGTAAAATTATTGTTACCAGGGGCTACGGTGGGAGGGTGGGGGGATTTGGGAGTTGCTGATTAATATACAATTTCTGTTGGATAGGAGGAATAACTTCAAGAGATATGTTGTACGTCATGGTGACTATAATTAATAACAAAGTATTCTTTTTTTATCTGCCCTTTTTTTCTTAAATCTCTACACAACATAAACATTTTTTATGGCCCTTTACCAATTTCTCCCTAATCCTTCTTCCCCTCCTCCTTTCCCACCTGTGGTGACCACAGTTTTCTTCTATCCTTTAGAAAGTTCAAGGAATTATTGTGATGGTTGGGTCTGTCTTTCTTTTCTCTAAGTTGATTCATGTTGCTGCAAATGGCAGAATTTCATTACTTTTTATGGCAGAGTAGTATCCGTTGTGTATATATACCACATTTTCCTTATCCAGTCATCCATCGGTGGACATTTACGTAAGCTCCAACTCTTAGCTATTGTAAACAGAGCTGTGATAAATATGGGAATGCAGGTGTCCCTTCCACGTGATTTCCATTCCTTTGGGTATACATCCAGTAGTGGGATTGCTGGATCATATGGCAGTCCTGTCTGTAGTTGTCTGAGGAACATCCATACTGATTTCCACATGGCTACACTAATTTATAGGCCCACCAACAGTGTGGGAGAGTTCCCCTTTCTCTGCATCTTCCCCAGCATTTGTTATTCTCTGTCTTTTTGATGGCTAGTTTAACTGCTGTGAGATGATTTTTCAATGTGGTTTTGATTTGCATTTCCCTGATGCTTAGTGATGTTGAGCGTTTTTTCATGTGTCTGTTGTCCATTTGTATATCTCCCTTTGAGAAATGCTTATTCAGCTCTTTTGCCCATTATTTATTTATTTATTTATTTATTTATTTATTTTCCTTTTTGTCTTTTTTACTGACCGGTAACGGGATCGCAACCCTCGGTGTCGCGCCCGTACCGGGGACCGGCAACGGGATCGCAACCCTTGGTGTTGCGCCCATACCATGCTCAGCCAGTGAGCGGGAACCGGTCTCCACATGGGATCCGAACCCTCGGCAGGAGCGCCGCCACACTCCCAAGCGGCACACTCTCCAGTGCACCACCGGGCTGGCCCTTTTGCCCATTTTTTAATTGGGTTACTTACTTTTTTACTGTTAAATTGTTTGAGTTCCTTGTATAATCTGGATATTGTCTTAGTTTGTGCTGCTGTAACAGAAATACCTAAGACTGGGTAATTTATAAGGAAAAGAGGTATATTCTGGAACAGCTGCATCTGGTGCAGGCCTCAGGCTGCTTCTACTCATGGCAGAAAGTGGCAGGCAGCCGGTGGGTACAGCAGATCACATGGTGAGAGGAAGCAAGAGAGAGAGAGGAGGTGCCAGGGTCTTTTAAACAACCAGCTCTCGCAGGAATTAATAGAGCAAGATCTCATTCAGGACCCTCACCCCCCAAGGAGAGCATTAATCCATTCATGAGGGATCTGCCCCCATGACACAAATAGCTTCCAACACTGTCTCACTGGGAATCAAATTTCCATATGAGTTTTGGGGGAACAACACATCCAAACTCTGTCATTCCACCCCTAGACCCCCAAAACTCTTGTCACTCTCACATACAAAATACAATTTTTCCATCCCAACAGTCACAAAAGTCTTAGCTTTTTTCAGCACCAACTTAAAAGTCCAAAGTCCAAAGTCTCATCTGAGACGAAAGGCAAAACTCCTTCCAGCTATGAACCTGTAAAAATCAAAACCAAATTTATCTACTGCCAAGATACGATGGTGGAACAGACATTGTGTATACATTCTCATTGCAAAAAGAAGGAATAGGCCAGAAAGAAGGAGAAGCAGGCCCCAAACAAGTTAGAAACCCAGCAAGAAAGACATTAAGTCTTAAAGGTCCAAAATAATCTTTGACTCCAAGTCCTACATCCTGGGCACAATGGGGCATCTGGGCCCCCAAAGCCTTGGGCAGCCTCGTTCCC